TGGACTCTTTCTTTGCCTTGAAAATTACGTTTTCAGACATAGGATATCGCTTTCGTGTCCTGAAAAACGTTTGTCTAACTCTTGGAAATAAAGTACGTTTTCATAATAAGCAGAAGTTTCCTGTCCAGGAGTAATTTGTGGACCACGCGTCAGTTTTAGACCCTTCGTCTGCTTCGGTCGCGCCATCGCTGGAAATGAATCTCCAAGAATCACCTTTAGTTTGGCTTCGCTGCTTTTCCTCTTGTCTTCTTCTTTCAGCGACCTCAAAAACGGACTTTCTTTTGCGGCGAACCGGTCCTGGATTCTCGTCCGCCATTGCAACAAACTTTGTGCGAACTGCGAGGAAGATATAGGTAAAAAAAGCCGCTAAGAACTGTTGCGTTGGTGGAGTAAACAGCGTCTGTGCGTCTTGCGTCTGTGGACTGCGTGACAGTCGTACGTAACCACGTACCGGCGGCGCAGGCAAGTCAGTTACACTAGAAACGTAGGGAGTTTGATTGACAGCCTGTAACAGCTCAACAGAATAACGAGGGCAGTGTCGTTATCTATTGGCAAATGTTTAGCCCTCAACACGTCCACAGTTGATGAATTTTTATTCTCTTTTTTTTGGTCATCATAATTACAAGGCTGCTGCATCTCTATTTTAATCTATCACTGACAATTTGAAACAAAAAAAATCCTTCATACAACCTTTAAGTCCAGTGCAGTTTACTTGACTTTGTAGTCGGTCGATCATTTTTGACTTGGACATTTTATAAGTAGCTCACATGCTGAAAAAGTGTGGGCGCCCCTGATTCAAGTAATTACGAACCTGTAAAAAGTTGAATCGTGTTGTGCAGTATTATCTCATGACGTTCTGCAAGATACCTCAAAATGTGTCGTACATGTAAGAATTCATAACACATTTACAAATAAATATATGTTTAACATTTTTGTATTAGGTGGTAGATCTTTCAGACATGATCATTTTAAAAGTAGCTCACGTACTGAAAAAGTCTGAGCAGCCCTGAGGTAGACTCAAAATAGAAGCTAATCTCTCAATTAAAATATCTGGCTGCGTCTTGTTAAAAGCTGAAGAGACGTCCGCAAAAAGTGTCCGTGCATGTGAGTTGGGCTTTTCGAGGTGTTTATAAATAGTGTCCAAAAGAAATGAGCTCGTAGTTCTAATCTCAAAACACACGTGAGGACACACGTGAGGACACACGTGAGGACACACGTGTGGACACATGAGGGAACACACGTGGGACACACGTGAGGACACACGTGAGACACACGTGAGGACACACGTGAGGACACACGTGAGGACACACGTGAGGAACACGTGAGGACACACGTGAGGACACACGTGAGGACACACGTGAGGACACACGTGAGGACACGTGAGGACACACGTGAGGACACACGTGAGGACACACGTGGGGACACACGTGAGGACACACGTGAGGACACACGTGGGGACACACGTGAGGAACACACGTGAGGACACACACACATGAGGACACACGTGAGGACACACACGTGGGGACACACGTGGGGACACACGTGGGGACACACGTGAGGACACACGTGAGGACACACGTGAGGACACACGTGGGGACACACGTGGGGACACACACGTGAGGACACACGCGAGGACACACGTGAGGACACACGCGGGGACACACGTGAGGACACACGCGAGGACACACGTGGGACACACGCGGGGACACACGTGGGGACACACGCGGGGACACACGTGAGGACACACGCGGGGACACACGTGAGGACACACGTGAGGACACACGCGAGGACACACGAGACACACGCGAGGACACACGTGAGGACACAGGACACAGGACACACGGAGGACACACGTGAGGACACACGACACACGTGAGGACACACGTGAGGACACACGTGAGGACACACGTGGGACACACGTGAGGACACACGCGGGGACACACGTGAGGACACAGGACACACGTGAGGACACACGTGAGGACACACGCGTGAGGACACACGTGAGGACACACGTGAGGACACACGTGAGGACACACGTGAGGACACACGTGAGGACACACGTGAGGACACACGTGAGGACACACGTGAGGACACACGTGAGGACACACGTGGGGACACGGAGGACACACGTGAGGACACACGTGGGACACACGTGAGGACACACGTGAGGACACACGTGAGGACACACGTGAGGACACACGTGAGGACACACGCGACGGACCGAATGTGGAAATGGACATAACTAAGCCACTTAGTCTACGTTCAGACGGCAGGGCTTAACGCTCAATTCAGATTTTTTTGTGAAATCCGATGTTTTTGCGAGGAAATTATTTGCGACATTTAATTGGAAAACCAGGTCTAAACCAGGACTAAACCAGGATTAAACCAGGACTAAACCAGGATTAAACCAGGACTAAACCAGGATTAAACCAGGATTTAAACCAGGACTAAACCAGGATTAAACCAGGACTAAACCAGGATTAAACCAGGATTTAACAGGACTAAACCATGCCGTGTCTCCTCTTCTTCTATCAATAATATTTTTAATTTGGTTCAGTAAAGTCTGGACTTTTTATTCTCTTTTATCAGACAAAACATCTTAAGTGAAGATTTCCTCGTCTTTGTTTCTCTACAGCAAATCAAGTAATCCAAAGTAATCAGATTACATTACTCACATGGATTACGTTACAAACTACATTTTGAGGTGTGTAATCTGTAATCACCTTCACAACACTGCTCCTGCTCTGTCAGACATTCCACCTCAGGAAAAAAAAAAAAAAAAAGCCTAAAATCTGAAATAACAAAACAAATTTCTGAGCGCCGTACAGTTGGACTTCATTTGGAATCTTCTGAACATTGGGCCCAGACTGATTGAAGATAAAGAGACAGTTTAACAGAGCAGGACCACATGTGTCAAGGCCAAGGCCCGCGGGCCACATCCGCCCTCCAAGACATTTTCTGTGGCCCACAAGGAGTTAAAAGGTATAATTTATTATTATGTTGTGACTCTGTGCCGCTACTACATCTCCCACGATGCACCGCAGCCGTTTCCCGTGAAGCGACTGCATCTCGCTACTAGAGAGGCCAAGAAAACATCACCAAATCTCCCCAAAAATATCCAAGAAAAGAAAAATTGATGCAGAAGGGACGGCTATTTCATGAACGTTACTGAAGGAGGAATGTGAATGTTTTAACTTAAACCTTTAAATCAAATCCAATCCACTTTATTTCTACAGCACATTTCATAAACAAAACAGTTTCCCAAGTGCTGCACAAAACAGATAAAACGGTAACACTTTATAATAACTACACCTTATTTAGCCTTAATAAAGCATGAACAAAGACTTAATTAATAATGAACAAAGACTTAATTAATAATGATTCACGCTTAGTAAATGATTAATAAAGGATAATTAGTCTTCACTTTAGAAAAGCTCTCAAAAAGACTTAACAGATAAACTACCTGAATTATCATTGCATTACATTATTAATAAATCATTCTCTCATAGCTTATTAATCATTAATAAACGCTCAAATTTGTATTTAAATATACATTTACAAATGCACACACATGGTTAGTTCATGAGTAATTAAGTATGAAATAATTATGAGTAACTATTTACAGCTCAGGTGAATGAAGTACAAGTTAAGTGCTAATTAAAGTAGTAATTAAGTAGTTACTAAGCGTGAATCATTATTAATTAAGTCTTTGTTCATTATTAATTAAGCCTTTGTTCATGCTTTATTAAGGCTAAATAAGGTGTAGTTATTATAAAGTGTTACCGATAAAACATATCCAATAGAAATATAAAGTAAAGCTCTTATTAACTCTACTAATCCTCATTAAGACAATAAAACTAGTCCAATCAAATAAGAGCAAGAAGACCAGTAAATATTAAAAAGGTTAAAAAAAACAACAACAAAAAAAACATACAAATAAACAAAATAAATAAATATGAAATGAAAAATCTAACACAGACTTGTACAGTTTTGTAACATACTGATGTTACAGTCACAGTTTGAACTTTACAACAACAACATGACGACAAACATGATCCAAACGTGGCCCTGGGTGAAAAAGAGTTTGACGCCGCTGACCCACACAGTCTCTTTCCCTCCTCTCCTTCATTCTGTCCCTCAGCTCCTCCCTTCTCCAAGAAACGTCCTTTGTTTTCCGGCCTCTGTAAGATGTAAAGATGTAAAATTGTTGCTTTTGAATTTTGTACATTCAAATATTTGCTTTCTAGTTTTCTTACGCACATTATTATTATCATATGTATTTGTTACTGGTCATGGATAAATCATTTGTAACTGTTCATGTTTCACCAGAGTTTCCATTTTTTTTTTTAATATATTGGTTTGGACCTGGTTTAGACCTGGTTTAGTCCTGGTTTAGTCCTGGTTTAGTCCTGGTTTAGACCTGGTTTAGACCTGGTTTAGACCTGGTTTAGTTTAGACCTGGTTTAGTCCTGGTTTAGACCTGGTTTAGTCCTGGTTTAGACCTGGTTTAGACCTGGTTTAGACCTGAGTTTTCCTGGTTTAGACCTGGTTTAGACCTGGTTTAGACCTGGTTTTCCTGGTTTAGACCTGGTTTAGACCTGGTTTAGACCTGGTTTAGACCTGGTTTTGGTTTAGACCTGGTTTAGACCTGGTTTAGACCTGGTTTAGACCTGGTTTAGACCTTGGTTTAGACCTGGTTTAGTTTAGACCTGGTTTAGACCTGGTTTAGACCTGGTTTAGTCCTGGTTTAGTTTAGACCTGGTTTAGTTTAGACCTGGTTTAGACCTGGTTTAGTCCTGGTTTAGACCTGGTTTAGACCTGGTTTAGACCTGGTTTAGACCTGGTTTAGTCCTGGTTTAGTCTCTAAACATCGGATCTTTTATTTTTCTTGTGTCGTTTTCACCCAAGGCGCCTTCCCCTTTAAGACTCGCACTCCTCCTCCTCCTCTTCCTCTTTTTCCTCTTCCTCTTTCTCCTCTTCCTCTTCTTCCTCTTCTTCTTCTTCTCCATCGCTCCACATCCACCGAGCGCCTCTTCCTCTCCGCATCCGCGTCTCGCCTCACCTCCTCCGGCATCATGACCAACGAGTCCCCGGGGGAGGACCGGGGCTTCGGGCGGAGGAGCCGAGGACGCGCGGAGGACAACGTGACCATCCTGACCTCCTCCGCGGACCTGCCCCGGCTCAGCGGCACCGGGGGCACCGGCGGGGGGCGCAGCCGGGCCGGCACCGCTCCGGACACGGCCTCCACCCTCAGCTCCTCCCTGGAGCTCAGCATCCAGACGCGCATCTTCAAAATCATCGTCATCGGAGACTCCAACGTGGGCAAGACGTGTCTGACGTTCCGATTCACCGGGGGGAACTTCCCCGACAAAACCGAGGCGACCATCGGCGTGGATTTCAGGGAGAAGGCGGTGGAGATCGAGGGAGAGACGATAAAGGTACGAGGCACACGGAGGCACACGGAGGCACACGGAGGGACACGGAGGACACGGAGGACACGGAGGAGACGGAGGAGACGGAGCGCGCACGGGCTCCGGAGCGAGTGTCTTACGAGATATTGATCATTTTAGTGTCATTTAATAAGACTAAATGTGGTTTTATTCTGCGTAAAAGCGGGTAACTGTTTAGTTTAAAACCTCTACGAACGTCCCGGATCGATTTAACAATTAAATACGTGCCGCTACTACGACGTGTTTTGTTTGTTTGTCGTAATTACGCGCAGAAACCGCATCTCCAGTTGTGTTTACGCACTTCAAATCGTAGTATAGTCCTGGTTCAGCTCTGGTTTAGACCTGGTTTAGTCCTGGTTTAGCTCTGGTTTAGACCTTGTTTTAGTCCTAATTTATTCCTAGTTCAGTCCTGGTTCAGTCTGGGTTGAGTCCTCATTTAGTTCTGGTTTAATCCTAGTTTAGACCTGGTTTAGTCCTGGTTTAGTTCTGGTTTAGTCCTGGTTTAGTCCTGGTTTAGTCCTGGTTTAGTCCTGGTTTAGTCCTGGTTTCGACCTGGTTTAGTCCTAGTTTAGTCCTGGTTTAGTCCTGGTTTAGTTTAGTCCTGGTTTAGTCCTGGTTTAGACCTGGTTTAGTCCTGGTTTAGAGACCTGGTTTAGTCCTAGTTTTAGTCCTAGTTTAGTCCTGATTTAGTCCTGGTTTAGTTCTGGTTTAGTCCTCCGTTTAGTTCTGGTTTAGTCCTTAGTTTAGACCTGGTTTAGACCTGGTTTAGTCCTAGTTTTAGTCCTAGTTTAGTCCTGGAGTCCTGGTTTCTGGTTTAGTCCTGGTTTAGTCCTGGTTTAGTCCTGGTTTAGTCCTGGTTTAAGTCCTGGTTTAGTGGTTTAGTCCTGGTTTAGTCCTGGTTTAGTCCTGGTTTAGTCCTGGTTTAGTCCTGGTTTAGTCCTCCTGGTTTAGTCCTGGTTTAGACCTGGTTTAGTCCTGGTTTAGTCCTGGTTTAGTCCTGGTTTAGACCTGGTTTAGTCCTGGTTTAGTTTCCTGGTTTAGTCCTGGTTTAGTCCTGGTTTAGTCCTGGTTTAGTCCTGGTTTAGACCTGGTTTAGTCCTGGTTTAGTTCCTGGTTTAGTCCTGGTTTAGTCCTGGTTTACTCCTGGTTTAGTCCTGGTTTAGTCCTGGTTTAGTCCTGGTTTAGTCCTGGTTTAGTCCTGGTTTAGTCCTGGTTTAGTCCTGGTTTAGTCCTGGTTCGTACTCGACTCTTTGTTTTAGTCGTAGTTACTCACAGAAACTGCATCTCCAGTCGTGTTTACGTTGTTAAAACTGTCAAAATATTGTTTTTATTTTGTGCTTTGACTGTTTTAGTTTCATTTTGGTGAGTAAACGTGGATCTGTCCTCGGTGAGTTTAGAACAAACGGCTCCGTGGGCTGAGGGACGTCGATCTTTTGTCGTCTTTACGCACAGAAAAAAAAAAAAAAACAAACGAGACGTAAACTCGCGTTTGCTGCACCGAGATGTAAAAATGTGCGACTTTGTTAAAAATATCTGCTGTTGTTTTAGAAAATCATCGACGAGTCTTTGGTCGAGGTTCAGACGAGACGCCGAGATTTATGTTTTGTTTTTACGCTCGGGCAGGTTCAGGACTAAACCAGGACCAAACCAGGACTAAACCAGGTCTAAACCAGGACTAAACCAGGTCTAAACCAGGACTAAACCAGGACTAAACCAGGACTGAACCGAGGACTAAATCAGGACTAAACCAGGACTAAACCAAGACTAAACCAGGACTAAACCAAGACTGAACCGAGGACTAAATCAGGACTAAACCAGGACTAAACCAGGTCTAAACCAGGACTAAAATCAGGACTGATCCAGGACTGAACCAGGTCTAAACCAGGACTAAAATCAGGACTGATCCAGGACTGAACCAGGTCTAAACCAGGACTAAAATCAGGACTGAACCAGGACTAAACTAAGACTAAACCGAAGACTAAACCGAGGACTAAACCAGGACTAAACCAGAACTAAACTAGGACTAAACTAAAACTAAACCGAAGACTAAACTGAGGACTGAACCAGGTCTAAACCTGGTTACACTGGACTAAAAATAGACTACACCAGGTCTATCCAGGACTAAAATCAGGACTAAACCAGGTCTAAACTAGGACTAAACCAGGATTAAACCAGGTCTAAACCAGAACTAAACTAGGACTAAATTAGAGCTGAACCGGGACTAAACCGAGGACTAAAACAGGACTAAACCAGGACTGAACCGAAGACTGAATTAGGTCTAAACCAGGACTATACTAGGACTGAACCGGGACTAAACCAGGACTAAACCAGGACTAAACCAGGACTAAACTGGTCGTCAAAAGCATCAAAAATCAGACACTAATCGATACTAAAACAAGCACAAAACTAGATTCTCGTCTGAGTATCGATGTGAAAAATTCCCATTCGTAGAGCAAAAATGAAACTTTCCTGAAATTCACATCCTCGTGTCTAAAGAAAGAGATTTTATTATGTTTTTAATTCTTGTGGTGTCAGCGTCAGTTCAGGAGGCGGTGGAGTCTTTGGTTTGACTAACGGCGTTTTCAGTGACACTTAAATTTGCTTTGTCATGGTGACACAGTTATAATTAGAAACAAACCAGCATCTAAAAACACACGGCCTTTTCTTCAGCCTTTTACACTTTTACACAGTTTATAAAAATATAAACACTCGATCTTCAACCAAACTCCAATTTTAGAAACTCTGACAACAATATATAACTTAAAGGGGAAGTGATTTTTACAAATTGGGCCACGGGAAGAAATATCTACGGAAGCCCTAAGCGGCAAGAAAAAAAAAAAAAAACACACAAAAAAAAAAGAAACACATCATTTGGAGCTCAATTTTCAGCTCTCAAAAAAAAAAAAAAAAAAAAAAGTTTTTTGTCTTTTATTTTTTTTATTGTTTATTTGCACAAACAGCTTTTTTACTGTTGATGTGGCTGATGAAAAAAAAAAAATCTAATTTTATTTTATTTTTATTTCCCCACCAGCTACATCAACATTAAATAAATAAATAATTTTGATTGTAGATTTTTTCCCCCACTGGCCACATCACCAGAAGACAAGAAACACATTTTTTTAGAGTTGTTGGTGCAAAAAAAAGAGAGAGAGAAAAAAAAGACACATCATTTGGGGCTCAATTTTCAGCTCTCAAAAAAAAAAAAGTTTTTTGTCTTTTTTTAAAAATTATTATTTATTTGCACAAACAGCTTTTTTACTGTTGATGTGGTTGATGAAAAAAAAAAAATCTAATTTTATTAAATTTTTATTTCCCCACCAGCTACATCAACATTAAATAAATAAATAAATAAAGACAAGAAACACTTTTTTTTTTTTTTTTTGAGTTTTTTTTTTTTTTTTTTTTTGGTGCAAAAAATAAATAAATAAATAAAAATTTGAGGGGGGAGTTGTTGGTGGAAGAAAAAATGAGGCATATTTGGGCTCCAAGTGTTTTTTTTTTGTTTTTGTTTTTGTTTTGTTTGTCATGAACCATTCTCAAAAACAAAAAAAAAGCCAAGAAACCTTTTTCACTGTTGCTGTGGCTGATGAAATAAGTAAGTAAATAACTATTAATTATAATAATTTTGATTGTAGATTGTTTTTCCCCCCACCGACCGCATCACCAGAAGACAAGAAACACATTTTTTAGGGTTGTTGGTGCAAAAAAAACAAGAATTATTATTATTATTATTTATTTATGTATTTTTTGGGGGGGGGGAGCAGTTGGGGAAAAAAAAAAAAAAAAACACTTAAAAATGGAGCTCCAAATGCCGCTCAGTGCTTCTGTAATTACAGAAGCCCTGAGCAGCAACCAAAAATAAACGTCATTTGGGCTCAATTTTTTCTTTCTTTCTTTCTTTCTTTCTTTTTTTTTTTTTTTTGGTTTGTTTTTTCCACCAACAGCTCCCCCCAAAAATTGTTTATTGTCTTTTTTTTTTTTTTTTTTTTTTTTTTGCACCAAGTCAGTTACATCGTTTTTACTGTTCATGTGGCTGATAAAAAAAAAAAATATATTAAAATAAATGATTTAATATTAATTTAAATAAAAATATAAATATAAATAAAAATGTTAATAAATTTTCCACTTCTTACCACCCATAGTAAGAAGAAGCACAAAAACACCTTCTTGTTACTGTGGGCGTTAACACGGGCAGATACGTTTATACCACATGATATGGAACATTCTGGACAAACCGCAGAAGCAAAACCTCTTTAAGTTTTCTTTCTTTGCTCAGTCTTTCTTTGGACGTAGACGGCTTCATTTTAAATTCAGTCCCTTCTTCTTTTTTGTCTCGGTCGCTCGGAGAGAAAATCGGATCAGCGGGTTTGACAGATTGTTTTTTGGATCAGATTTGACACGAAGAATAAGCGAGGTTCAGTCCCCAACTCCTCTGTGTGTGTGTTCACCGCAGGAAAAAAGAGCCAAAATTGAGTCCGAAAATGATTTAAAAATAGTGAAATTATCTGTCCGTGCAGCACGATCATGTTACTGCACAAGTTAAATCCTAAAATAAACGACCTCTAGACTAAAACGAAGCGTCTCAGAACGAGTGAGTCGATAATAAATCTGAAAACAAGACGAATAACCTGATTTAAATGTTAAAATCTTGGCCACGTGCAGTGTTTAATATTTCATACATACCTGAAAAAAAGGAAGATCTAGTTTCGATTTTAGTTTTAGTATCGATTAGTTAGATTTTTCGATACTTTGGACAGCCCAAACGCTGTAGTTTTGGCACAGATTTTCAGTTGTTTACTTAAAAAAACGTGGTATTTATTTAGACATCTGTAATTGTAAATGTATAATTCTAATTCAGGTACAGGCCGCACTTCTTTGAATAAAAGCACGTTAATTATTCGCAATTACAATTACAATTTTAAAATCAAGATTCTACGACGGAGTATAAGGGTCAGATTTAAAAAAAAAAGATGCTGGGGCTACGAGAA